GGGGGGGGAGTTGTACGTGTTTTATTTATGGCCCCATCAACACAATTTATGTAATTTAGGATGCAGGCTGCCTTTTGGAGCCTATGCATTACACTGTCCCCGTCATTTTATGCAAGAAAAATTCTGAAATTATGCAAACTGAGCCCAATAATGTGAAATTATTCTTTTTAGTTTTAGTAGAGGTGCGATTCTGTTAATTTTAACAAAAAATGATAAAGGAAAATAATCAGAAATTATGCAAAAAATGATCAAATTTTGCTAAATTATGCGGTGTGCATTAAACCACGGGGACAGATTACAGGAAGTTAAGGCTCCAAAACGTGCTCTAATTCTTAAAAAAAAAAAAAAAATTCTTGACTTTTACGTCTTCATTGATCAGTGCTTCCACTCTTCCGTATTTTTACGGAAATCCGTACTTTCTGCTAGTTCCGTACTTGTCCCTCCATCATCATCAACTCCCTCCGTAAAAATCTGCGATAGCGTAGGACTACCGAAATTCCGTAGCAAAAGATCCGTACTCGCCTTCGTATCGTCTTGTATAAGTTACGGATCTTTACGGTAATTCTCTCGGCAATAGTTTATGCTATAGAATCCTGCCAGATTGCGCATTTCCTGCAATCGGCCATTGTTCTACTCTGCCCCATGCATTCATTGCAGGCTTGTCGGCAGTACATTTTTTACCTGCAGATTGATCAAAATCTGGCGAACTTTTTGTGCCACTTTCCTCCTTTCTATCGTTCCCTCATTCCGTCTGTCTATCTTCGGATTGTTGCCGCGGCTGGAAGAATCTGCGCGTTGATCAAGTAAATTGACATGTGATCTTAGACAGAAAATTATTGTCAGAAAGAATTTTTTTTGCAAATTTATTGTCTAGATTCTAGATCTAGAGAAATTATCATTGCGAAGATTCGGACGAGCGACAGTCGTTCTAACACTTACACAACTACATGTAAACTGCGCTGGCAAGACTAAAATACGGCCGTTGTCGTTGCTTTTGTCTGAACGCATTATGAGGGATAAGAGATTTGTTGGTACATTTGGTCGGTCGGTCGCCGTCGTTATCCTAGAAGTAGAACGACTGTTTCTCATCCGAGTATTTTGTTTGAACGTGCAGTTAGTTGGACCTGTTAGTAAAATTGTTTCAATCACGCATACGCATCACGTGACATGACATCACCGTGATTTCTGCGTGTCGGGGACCGTCCGTTGACGGGGTCAACCTAAGTTCATGTATTTCGGGACTTATTGGTTTGGGGGGGGGGAGGTAGAGACTTTTGGACTAGGAGTGCTTAACGTGATGCTTCAGGATTTACCAAAAATAATGATAACACGCACGCAAAGACACACAGAGAGCATATAGGCGGAGTAATTTATGGACACCCATGGAAAATTTTAAAGTCAGTTTTGACAGTCACCTTGGTGATTTGCTGTTGATCCCGATTTTTTTTCACCAAATCCCGATTTTTCGCTCCCCGAGATCCTAATTTTGAGGCTTCATAGAGTGGCAGGTCTGGTAACTGTCTTGTGAAGGTACAGCCTACATATATCTATTCATTATTCTCAGGTTTGCCTTCTATCAGTATCAAAGGTGCAATGACAAATTAATTGAATTATAGTAGCAATGGAAGGGGACCAGGGACATTAAAAAAAGATGCCCTTGTCTGTTGGTGTGTAAGGATGTGTGGGATACAACATCCCAGTAGAAAGACGGAGATACTTGATGACCTCCACAAGCAGGAAACGAATACAGGTCTTCTGCATGCAGTTGCGCAGAGCTTTACCATACATTGGTTGACCTACCTGTTCTTTGGAGAGATTAACTGGTTTTTGAGAATATTAGCCATACATATTTACTGTAAAAAAATGATAGAATTTTCCCCATTTTGAGTATTGATTTGAATGCTGTTTAGGTTCATTTTTGGCAGGGCTTTAAAAAGAAAGAAAAAGCTGTAGCCTACCGTGGGCCCCACTTATAAATCTCGGTTATAACAAGATTTCTAAAAAATTATTTTATAACACGCATTTGGACAGACATGCTTGGATGTGACAATGGTTTAACCTTTGACAGAACCCTAAAATAAACAGACAAAAAAGCAGAAAGAGCAAAACAACAGTCAATGTTGATGGCGTATTGCACCTTTGTGACCCACAGCAGACCTAAGTTGATTGTGTACTCATTATATGATGTGTCATACCATGTTACCATGTGTGCAGGGGGAGGGAGGGGGGAAAGCTGGACATACTGTAATGTTACTATTATTATGCTAATGATGTTGAACTGACCAATGTGTACTAACTTTATGTGAGTAACATGATTTTAAACTGTTTTGAGGTTTAACTGACTTGATCAATTTATGACTCCTATGATGTTAGTGTCAGACTAATACAAAGCAAAAATTAGAATTAAAATGCTATTGCACAGTAGCTCTTGAAATAAATGAATGATTGTCTACTATTCATGTTGTTCTATTCTCACTCTACCTCACAGAGCAACTATACCAACCCCAGCAGTGGTCAAGGCCGGCCGGGCTATGGCGGTCAGTCCCACAGCCGCTACTACCAGTGAGTTTGGTAGTGGACAGTAACAGCTTGGGCTAGTTCTCGGATCACACACCTGGACAGACCGTTTCAGGAGAGTGGGGTCAGTCTTTGATGCCTCCATGTGGACTCAAATGTGCAGATGTCCAAAAAGATGCTCCTTGCTTGGAGATAATGTCTTAAAACGAGATATGTCGTGCAGTTATGTATGGGACTGTTTTTGGATTGGTGACACATAATTATTATGTGCGGATGTTCAGAAAGATGATCTTTGCATGGTGATATCTTAAAACAAGATATGTCGTATAGAATATGGGTTTCACAGTTTTTGGATGAGAGACCCATATGATATGATATGATATATATGTTCAACTTAAGACTTGCACGCTTTGCGATCGGCACTCGACATGCTGACAGCTTTTGGAAAACAGGATCCATGCAGGGATGGAAACTGATCAGTCCAAAATTTACTGTACTTTTTTCGCAGGCTATACAGATTTGGAAAAATACTCTTATTTAATTGTAGATTAGTACACATACGGAAAATGATAGTTTCACTTTACTGGTCGGACCGAGCGCTTAAAGAGGCCACTTACGAACGTCAGGTCCCAAGATGGAGCAATTCGAAATTACGGATTTCCGTTACTTTACGGAAAATTTCCATCCCTGTCCATGTTGGCTTTTGAGCAAATAATGTCAGTTGCAGAAGTTATAATGTGTTTGACAACTTTTGGATTGGCCTCTTTGTGTAAGAACCCGTTACCTTTTATGTGTAAAAGGCTTTTGGATTTTTACTTGTGTGTATGTGTTAACGGGTGGTTGGAGGGCTTTACTTTTCTTTCCCTTTATTGGTTCTGTCTGTCTTGCTTTTTTTCCTGTCACTGAATAATTGTTATCATGTCGATGTGCTTCTTTTACTCAAATTAAACACTTTAGTTTAATTATGGGTATCTCAATGAGACGTATTGTCCTCTATGCTTCAAAATCATTCGGATAGATATCATATACTCATAACCTTTCAAACCCAACTATAATTCTTACACCTTCAAGCCCAACTATGATTCTGACCCCTTCAAGCCTTGCCCCTTTAAAACTACATATATATATGGACTGTTAAACATTGGAGCCATGCCCCATTAAGTCTACTGTTCACGCAGACTTTTGAATGTCTTTTTACTTTTATTCAGCAAAAACTGTAATTGTAAATAATGATACTATACATTTGCATCCATTTTGCTTTTTTAACTTTCTTTTCCATAACACAGGGACATTTCAGCAGGTGGTAGGAAGTACCACTGGTAGGTCATATTTCTTTTCTTCCCCCTGTTGTTTCTGTCTGTCTTTTCTTCTTCCTGGCACTAGATGACTGTTACTGTGTTGATGGGCTTCTCTTTACTCAAGCAAACCGTAAGATAAACTTTGATACCATCATCATCAGATTTAGAAAAAAGTTGAAATTTCATGAGCTTAGTGTCTTGTGATTTCGGTAGTGTCTGTTTAGTAGGCTACAGAGTAGGCCTACTGTGTCTACTGATAAAAATGGCATTTTTGTGATTTATGTATTTGCTCAATGTCTGGACATGTAATTTGTAACTGACGCTTGTAGATATGACAAGTGTTCTTGATGAATTGTCTTGTATTGTTTTAATCCTTGAAATTTTGAGTTTGGACGGGATTATTGTAATTGTAATAATTGTACTTTACTGTGCTTTACACCTCCATTTGTACTATTTAGATTATATAGGAGGCAGGCAATTTAGACCCTGCCAGTGAGGGCCAACCCAGATTGAGTGGGATACCCCCTGGGGCGGTGCTACTGACTGAAGTGTCTTTAGGCTGTTCCCATGCACAGTAGAATTGTAAATGGGCCGTTCATCAATGTCAAGCTCATAACTGTGCCTGAACTGCAACAAGGAACTGTTACCTTTTCTTTCCTAATCCTTACTATCGTCATTTCTCCTCTACTTCTTTTGTATGTTTGTCACACTCTCCTGACCCACTATTTCCGGGGTGCCTTGATAGTGGAAGCAGACTTTGTGCTGTTGAAGCTATAGAGGTGAGCAGAGTAAGTCTGATTCCCTGTAAGGACTTCTCTGTTGACATCCACCCCTTGGCGCTCATATGACCTTATGCAGTTGCGAGCGCCGTAAAACCTCTACTAAAACAAAATAAGATTGAGTGGGATACAGTATCACAGATGACATATGAAGATGCTCAATAAAGTACCACTTCCCCACCCTAGAATCAAACCCACATCTTCTGGGTACATAATAAATGCGAACAGCAGACCCCTGTCAAGATTGGTTTGGGGGAAATGACAACTCTGTAAGTGGGTGGTTGGCGGGTGTTCTGTTGTGGTTTGCTCCTTCTTTTCTATCAAACTTCTATTTTCTTTATCTCTCCTCCTTTTATTTGTATGTTACTATCTAGAAACAACTCTCGCAACTTATATGACCTTATTGTATTGCAAGTGCAATAAAACTCAAACTAAAACTGAAATAACTCTTGACATTTTTTGGGCTCCTTTCCCAATCTTTGCTTGCTGTACTTGTTATTGTTAGTCAATTATTGTTGATTGTTGAGATTTTATCAGAAAGTGGATTGTAACTAAAATTACATGTGATGTTGTGGACTTTTGTTCTAGTAATATATGGATTTGTGTTTGTAATAAAGTGTTCTTGAAGACCCAGGGATCTTTTGCCTTACATTATTGTTAATAGACATGGTAAATTTAGACTTAAATGTTATACTCTTCAGGAAAAAACTGCAAGCAGGTGGATAAGTAAACATGAAGTTTTGGTTTTATAAAGGAGGCTCACAGTGTGTTGTTGGTAGTCTAGTGGCTGTAACGTTGCAGGTTCGAAATCCTGATGCGGGTCCAGCACTTGATATCTTGAATATCCAGTTAGATCAGAGAAAGATATTGCCAGTATATTAGAGAGAAAAACACTCTTTCCACCTGCAATCCTGACATTAACTTTACTTTGTTTGTTTTAGTAAGAATTTTACGGCCCTCGCAGCTGCATAAGTAACTTTACTTTAAACCACGTTGGGTTAGTGTACAGTAAAAGTAAGAGTATGGGTTTAATGCCTTCATTAACACTATTAGGTCATTTAACAAGCAGGACCTTGGACCGAGCCTTGAAATCTCAACAAAATTACCAGAGTTCAGGAACACCCAGCCTTGGATTCTAACCAGGGCCATCTGCTCCGTAGTCCAGTATGATACCAACTGAGCCAGCAAAGTGCCCCTAGTGTACAGGTGACCCTGCATCAAAACCTCAACAGCCCAGACAGAGAGGGATACAACAACCAAGCAGAAAGAAAGATATTCGATGAAAATTTCTTCCCACTCGGGAATCAAACATGGATCTCCAGCGTGCGACAATGAAGCATCTAACCACTACACCACAGACCCCTGTAAATAGAAATACAAAAACAAACTTGATGCCAACTGTGCCTCAAGACAAAAAGAAAAAGGAAGACCCCCTACATCCTACATTGACAACATACAAGCTGATGGCTGATGGTGATCTACAATTTTATGAAGTACAGTGCGTACGCTGAAACCAAAATCTGCGGAATCTCCATATTTTCTACGATTTACCCTGGTTTTCGATTTAGATAGGAGGCTCAAATTATGAAGTAGAAAAAAATCATGGATACTTTTTTCGTTTGGTTTACAGCTGTTTTCAAATTTACTGCGAGTGATTTAAGTGGACTCCACTGTAATTCATCAAAGCAGAGACCTGGAGAGATGGCATCCTGTTGTGGCCAAGAGTGGGACACAAACACAAATCGACGGACACTGCCATGGTGACAGTAACAGCACACTGCCTCAGAATAACAAAGTTCTATCTGCTCAGTACCTAGTTTTGAGAAATTTGATGTAAATTTTTTTTAGTTTTACACAGTCAAGCTTTTAAAAATGTAATTCTTTGAATACCTTGATAACGACTCTGAATATTCTTACCATCTTGATGGATCAGACAGAGCATTTGCTTTCTGACCTCATGGTCTTAGTAACCCAAAACAGCCAAAAATGTCAGATAGAACTTTGTAATTCTGAGGCAGCGAGTATTCAGTTTAACAAAACAAAAAACTCATGTTGGGCAACAAAATAAATGTATTTTCCAACGCAGTGGGAACATCAGAATTGAATAAAACAAAGCATTACAATATTATATTGCAAACTGATGTCCACAAGTCTTTTGTGTTGGACTCAAAACGAAAAAACCTTGAATGGTACACAACTTCGGGGTGAATAAGGCAACCTGGGTTGAGCCCGAGTTTGAATACAATACAATGTTTTACGGCACTATCAACATAATTGGGTCATACTCAGGGTGAATTTGGGCCAGCATCATGAAAATATTTTGAATAGTCAAACCTGATGGCAAGACGAATAAGATTAAGACAACCTGAACAAACGATCATTCCCATTTCCTCCTTTGCATATTTTTTACATTATAATAATGACATTGTGTAAGATGGCTACCTGTTGAAAGTGGCTACTTTTCTGCTCAACAATGGGTGGCTGTCTGAATGTAGAAAAAAAAAATTGTACACGGTCCATATCAGCTTCTTTTCCAATAAAGAAGGCACAGTTATACAGAGTGACGAATCATTGCCATTCAAAGTCATTACAGTTGCAGGTGACTTCCTTCTCACTATCACAAAACACCTAAAAAATCTTAATAATAAGTTTCACTATTTCACTTACATATTTCCACCAAGAAAATGCTCAATGCACATTACAATAAAATGAAGAATATGAGCACCATACGGTTCTAACTGATAATTTCTCGCTATTTTTCTCTCTCTCTCCCTTTCCCACAAAAACTTGCACACACACACACCTTTCGACCACTGTCAGACCCACATCTGCCCTGATTGTGTGAGTTCATTTTTGACTTTTTAGTTGTAGTTTAGTATGGGGTTTTACGGCGCTCGCAACTGCCTAAGGTTATATGAGAGCGTGAAACACAAGTTTAAAAAAAAAAATATGTGGTTTACTGCACGGCTGTGTAAGGGTCATTTGATTTGAAAAGTTAAAATGTTAAAAATTTGGTGTAGATACATGTATATAATTTTAGACTAAAACAACTTTCATAAAAATTTTTAAAAATTATTCAATTTTGTTCAATTCTACAATTTTCCATAGAGGCCAATGGCCTTCATAAAATTCAAAATTCTGATGGGACCAACGACGAAAAAAATGTCTTGCATTTTTTTTGCATTTACAATATTTCCTTCGGATCTCTCCAAAGTCTAGACATTCGGTTAAAATGTGTCTAATGATAAAATCTGTGTCGCATCCGACACAGAACGGCTTCTTCTCATCTCCCTGTAGGAGGTATTTGTGGGTTAGGGCCCTGTGTCTGATGCGCAATCGAGTAAAAATGACTTCGTCTCTTCTGGAGAGGTCCGAAGGATTTCGTGGTCCCAGTTTGGGTTTTATATTATAGAGATTGTTATTTTTCTGTTTTTTCCAGTGGCTCTCCCACAGACTGGAGGTGTACTTTTTGACTTTATTTTTAAAGTCTAGTCTGTGGGTGTTCGTCGTTGATCCCAAAAGAAGGGATGAGGATTTCTTCGCCAGGTCGTCTACGTGCTCGTTTCCTCGGATGCCCACATGGCTAGGTATCCATGCGAACATGATGTTTTCTCTTGTTTCAGATAGGGTGTGAATTTTCTGTTGTAGCTTAACTATTTTTGGGTGTAGGAGTGTGTAGTTTGTGAGTGAGGTGATGCAAGACAGAGCGTCAGAAAGGATAGGGAAAGATTTGTTTGGAGAATTTTCTACGGAGTCCAGTGCCACGTCAATGACAGTGGCCTCCGCAGAGAAAATGGAGGCTTCAGGATGGAGTCTCCTCTGGTGTGTACTGTTGGGAGATAGGGCTGCGGCGCCCACTTCATTGTCTTTTTTGGAGCCATCCGTGAAGAGGAGCTCCGCACCGGGGTATTTATTTATAAGTTTTTTGTATTCTGCTTAAAAAGTTTTAGTGTTTGTGCTTTCTTTGTTGTGCGTGGTCAGCTGTAAGTCTACTTTTGCCTTGGTGAGGTGCCACGGAGGGAGGTCTTCGGGGAAAAGAAATTGTTCGATGTTTTGTTTGGAAAAGTGTAAGTATATGGTACAAAAAGCTGGCATTAAGGACTGGTGGGGCACCTGAGGTCTATTTTGGCTATTACAAGGCCTAGAGTGCCGATATTTGCTGTGGGACATCTTGTGTTATTGGGGATTTTAAATCAATAGTTAAAAAAGTATAAAGTGAATCGGTTGCAATGGAAACGGCGGCCATATTGGATTTTGTATACCTTTTTCAATCCCATTTTATTTCCTTATTTATTAACCGATTCACTTCTAATTTGGCATGCCAACAGTACATATGTAGCTCTTAAATTTGGCTTGTTGAATTTTTAATATATGCTATAGTTTATATTTTTTTTACATTTACAATTGAGTTGTTGCAAAACACGTGAAAAAAATGGAAAATTCATGCTTTCTAAGCCCATAAATCAAAAACTACTGCATTAATA